ATATATGGTTTGTTTATCCACAGTTTCAAGTATTATCATACATTATGTCATTGGCAGTGAAATAGTGACTTGGCCTTTTTGGGGACTCCTCCCAGTTATGCTGTTGCTGATTAAATGGTGGGAGTGAGCATTCCTATGTAATAATAACTTGCTTCACAAGTATTCCTAACTTGTTATAAAAGAATTGAACAGCAACATAGGAGTATACCTCTCTTAAAAAAACTTGTTTGACACTTAAATAAATCTTCTCTGAGTGGAAGGATTATTGTAGATATGGTAGAAAAGGGGCATATAAGAAGGCATAATTGTGCAAAGGAAGAAGCTGGAGAGAAAACAAATAACACAATGGATCTCATGGTTAGTGAGCTTATATACAAAGAGCCATCTTGAATCAGACTGAAAGCCTACCTAGCATTCAAAACTGAGACTGCCACCACTGCATTGGAGAGCTGCCATTCAAGGATCTAGTCCAGTGGTTTTCAACCTGTGGGTCCACAGATGTTTTGGCCTTCAACTCCCAGAAATCCTAACAGCTGGTAAACTGGCTGGGATTTCTGGGAGTTGTAGGCCAAAACACCTGGGGCCCCACAGGGGGGGGCTTGAGGGGCTTCAGCCCCCCCCCCCTGAAATTCTCATGGTGGTTCACGAAAAGGCCTTACTGGTGCATTATTTAAACTGTTATGTTTATTCATGTCATGATCTGATCACCATACTCAATATATCCCATATGCATGGGGGTATTGGGGTAATGATACAAAAGGTTTGCTAGGCTAGACCCTCTTTCACTCAGACTCAGCCCCCCGAAACTCAGCCCCCCCGAACCCCCCGAAAAAATTCAGCCCCCCTCCCCCCCCCCGAAACGAAATCCTGGCTACGGGCCTGCCTGGGGACCCACAGGTTGAGAACCACTGATCTAGTCAATCAAACTTTTCTTTCAAGGTTACTCCACTGGGTTTCTCCTGTTTTTTGTACTTCTGTGAAACTTGAGGTCCCTTGAACCTAGCTCCTTACCTGGAGAATGACTTTACTATCAATATGCAGAATACCTTGAAATAAACAAAAGCATAATTTCTAGTGGGGAAAGGAGGGGGGGGGGGGTGGTCAAAACAGCTGACATTTGGGTTGCTTTGAGTTTTCCAAGCTGTATGGCTGTGTTTCAGAAGCATTCTCTCCTGACATTTTGTCCATATCTATGGAAGGCATCCTCAGAGCTTGTGGGTGAAACATTAGGAGAGAATGCTTCTGGAATATGGCCATACAGCTCAGAAAACCCACAGCAACCTGGTGATTCCAGCCATGAAAGCCTTCAACCACACAGTTAACCTTTATCAGGCAATATGACTAGCATATTTTTGGCACCTGTTGTTTCCTATGTGATCAAAACAAATCAAGCAACACTGAAAGAAATTTCTCCATGGTTGCTGGTTCTGCCTCTTTTAACACTCACCATGGGCTCATCTATGCCAAGCAGTTTAGCCTGATGTAACTATGCCTTGCAGCAGCCCCAAATCTGCCACTGTTCAGACAGTTGGAGAGGACATCTGCTTCTCTGAGGTAGCCTATATCTCACACAGGTTACCTGTTCTGCTCTCTGCAGAGATACCTGCAATAGCCGGGAGCTTTCTCCAAGCTCCATAGCTGGCTTGAAGCAGTAGTAGCTGTGTCGCGGGCACGGTCCATCTGCTTTCCCTCTGCTGATGAATGCAGAGAAAGGGCAAAGTCACCAATTTAAAGTCTGGATAGCCGATCGGGCCAAGTCAGATCTCAGCAGCTGTCTAAACTGCCTCAATGAGATACTCTGGAGTTTCCAACAAATTCTTCACTATCTCATGACATTGCTCAAAGCAGGCCAAAGTCAGTTTAAAGTAAAAACAAAACAAAACAAAAATCTTGTGATACTCACCAGGAGCCAATGTGCTCCTTGGGGTCAGCTAGCCTTCCATCCAGGGTGAGCCCAAGGTTATTGTTGTTGTTGGTAAGCGTAGTTGGGTTGTTACTTTGATTTTATTGAGTCTGTCTTTTTTATATGTTACTATTGGCATTGAATGTTTGCCATTGGCATTGAATGTTTTATTTTGCTGGAAACTGCCCTAAGTCCTATTGGGGAGATAGTGTGGGTTATCAATGAAGCATTATTATTATTATTATTATTATTATTATTATTATTATTATTATTTGAAACACGACAAGATGAGTCCACAGCAGACACTCTGCTGGCTGTTGTATTGGATCACATGTCGGACACTTCCCAAGTGTCTAGGACTGTGTGATGTATCGGCAAATAATGCATGCAGATCCCAGTAAGGTGGCCTTCTGCAGCTGGCAGATGGTAATTTTGTCAGTGTCGATTGTGTTTAAGTACAGGCCAACGTCTTTAGGCACTGCACCCAGTGTGCCGATCACCACTGGGACCACCTTGACTCGCTTGTGCCAGAGTCTTTGCAGTTCGATCTTTAAATCCTCATATTGTGTCAGCTTTTCCAGTTGTTTCTCTTCAATCCTACTGTCACCCGGGATTGCAACATTGACAATCCATACTTTGTTTTTTAACACGATCGTGAGATATTATTATTATTATTATTATTATTATTATTATTATTATTATTACTCAAGACCCTAATTAATTTTATTTAATAGTGTGTGTATTTATTATAGAACACATGTATTTTGCTTGAAGTATTATAAAATCATCTTGCCTTACTGCTTAAAGGCCAGCAGATGGCAACAGGTGATTTATTCCAAAGGAATTTAGCTCCAGCAATACAGGCCCCTTCCACACAGCTGTATAAAATCCACATATTCCATGATATCTGCCTTGAACTGGGTTATCTGAGTCCACACTCAGATAATGTGGGATTTTCTGTCTTGATATCCTGGGATATAGGGCTGTGTAGAAGAGCTCCTGGATTATGTGGCAGTGTGCACTCAGATAATTCAGTTCAAAGCAGATTTTGTGGATTATCTGTCTTGATATTCTGAGTTATATGGCTGCATGAAAGGGTCCTCAGTCTCAGAATATCCATCAAAGTATAAGTATTATTGTATCAACAAGTTTACCTTAGGAAGCACTATAGATCAAATACATAATAATGACAACAGGTCACCTATGGAGCTATTATAGAATGCACATACCCCCATGCAAAGTTTAACAGGGAGAAAAATATCCTCAGCCACTCATAATACTGACACTTGGACTCATCCACTAAAGGTGAAGGATGAGAGATTCAAGGTGTATAAAAGGTTTTCTATCATACAATGATGGCCATTAGTCTGACGCAGCCTTAAAAGAAAATTAGAAACATTAATGGAAAACAACACCATCAATCCTGACTAGTCTTCTTGATGATATAACATCTCCACTTATATAGAATGATGAATGTCTCAATAAGAGTTCTGGAGAAAAATGGAAATAGGATAATTTTGCATTCATGAACTACTTGTTGGCTTCCTGAAGGAATGCTGGGAAGATATTTAATCTGGATCCAGCGAGATTACAGTTGGCAGGTCCTTTTACCTTAAGGATGGGAATAATGTGGTTATCAGAGTGTTGTTACACTGCCTCTCCCCTCATTGTTGCCCTTCTAGCAACATGATTTTCATTACTCTCTTATTTGGATAATCGTGGGAGTGATCCTGGATCAAGAAGATGAAAAGTATGTGGTCTGTCCCCAATCTGCTGCCCCTTCCATCAATACACAACAATGTTACTTTGCAAGTATATGTCAAGTATAATGTCACAGCGCTCTATGAAGTCATGCTGGCCACATGACCTTGGAGGTGTCTATGGACAACGCTGGCTCTTCGGCTTAGAAACTGAGATGAGCACCAACCCCCAGAGTTGGACACAACTGAACTTAATGTCAGGGAAAAACCTTTACTTTTACCTTTACTATAAAGTCACACTTCCTTAGGGAGACTGAAACAAAATAGCAGGGCAAAACAAACAAAACAAACAATCTTCAGGAAGGGGGGACCTTTTATTTTATCATCCCACCGCTTGCCACCATTTGAAATGTAAGCACAGAGGGATCTCTCACCGAGAGATTGAAAGAGAGAGACTTTGTTTATGATGAAACAGTAACTCTGTGTAGTTGTAACATTCTTGTGGCATAAGCGTAGTGGTTACATAGGATCAACGTTTCAGTATGAGTTTCATCCAATCTTTTCCTTTCTTCCCAAAAGGACTGTTCTACTAATACATACATACAAACTTCACACTATTTTTAACCTATTCCTTTGACCAATCTTCCAGCTCCTTCTCAGCTACGTCCTCCCAGACCCTAACTCACTGACCAACTCTCATAGACTGCCTCCAGCTAACAGCCATAGAATGCTCAGTTGGGCTCCTCTGTCTTCTTTGCGTCTGCCCCTCTGTCAAATCTTGGCACCCGCTCATTTGCATATGGCTAATCAGGTCGCTCGCATGCAAATAGCCTCCCCATTGGTGCTGTTGCTCTTTGGGCACCACAAAATGCAACTCACACGCCAGCCCTTTAAGGTAGGTCACTTCCTAACTTTCTAAAGCAGTGGTTCTCAACCTGGGGTCCCCAGATGTTTTTGGCCTTCAACTCCCAGAAATCCTAACAGCTGGTAAACTGACTGGGATTTCTGGGAGTTGCAGGCCAGAAACATCTGGCGACCCCAGGTTGAGAAGCACTGTTCTAAAGTGAGTCAGGTTTGTTACAGAGACTTTTCAGAACTTTGGTCCATTATTTAAGATAACATTAGAACATGTTTGGTGTGAACTTTCTTTAAATTGCTTTTATTAATCAGGTAAAAAGAGTAAAGTGCAGTGTGTTAGTAACTTATTTACTGTATATCTTGTGTGAAGCAGTAAGGTGGCCTTCTGCAGCTGGCAGAAGGTATAAATCAGCGAACTAGCCAGCGTGCTTTTTTGCTGGCACCGTAGAAGTCAAGATGAAAACACGTGGTAGGATTTGGGCCAAAAGGAAATAACTCTCCCTTACCTCACCCTGCCTCAAAGAAGGAGAGGATCTTGAACAAGCTGCTACCAGGAAAGGCTTTAAGAAATAGCAAATGCAAGAAGCAAACATGGCAAGACACTGCTTTTGACTTATTACCTACAATCATTAACTTGAAGTTCCAGCTGTATCGTTATTCCTGGAAACCACTCTGCTGCTACTTCTAGCTTCACTGGAGAAACACGTTCTGCCAGATCCATGATGACAGGAAAGAGAAGACCAAAAATGCGTGGTTCGTTTATCCAACCCAGTGAGGCGACAGAAGTCTTGAAACTGAAAAGAGAGATTGGACTCACCAGTGCTGTGTCATTAATTGCCGGAACCATGATTGGTTCGGGGATTTTTATGTCTCCCGAGTTCGTACTGCGTAACATTGGTAGCCCTGGGGGAAGTCTCATTATATGGACAGCCTGTGGCTTGCTGGCTACTTTCGGGTCATTGTCATATGCTGAACTGGGAACATTAATTAAAGAGTCTGGTGGTGACTATATCTACATTCTGAGGATCTTTGGCTCTTTTCCTGCTTTTCTTTACATATTCATCTCCGTCATTGTGGCGAGGCCTGCCAGTGTGGCAGCTATCTCTTTGAGTTTTGCTGAATATGCTGTCGCCCCCTTTTATCCAGGCTGCTCTTCACCTCCGCTGGCAGTCAAATGCACAGCTATTGCCTGCATCCTTCTTCTAGCTTTGGTCAATTGTCTCAGTGTGAAGCTGTCTACCTCTATTATGAACATATTCACAGCTGCCAAACTGTTGGCCATGCTGATCATCATAGTGGGTGGAATCCAGTTGCTTGTCCAGGGCCACACTCAGAGTTTTCAGAATGCCTTTCAGGGCACTAAAACAGGGGCTGGGTTCATTGGAATTGCATTTTATCAAGGGCTTTGGTCTTTCGACGGATGGAACAACCTGAATTCTGTGACTGAGGAAGTTAAGAAGCCTGAAGTGAGTGAAGAATTCAATAAATCAATTGATCAATCAGTGAACTTTATACTGTTAATGTTGGATAACTCTATGTACATTTAAGTATGTGGGTTTTGAATCTTTTATTCATGTCAGGAGTGACTTGAGAAACTGCAAGTCGCTTCTAGTGTGAGAGAATTGGCTGTCTGCCAGGACGTTGCCCAGGGAACGCCTAGATGTTTGATGTTTTACCATGTTGGAGGCTTCTCACATGTCCCCGCATGGGGAGCTGGAGCTGACAGAGGGAACTCAACCTGCTCTCAGATTCAAACCACTGACTTGTTGGTCAGCAGTCCTGCCGGCACAAGGGTTTAATCCATTGTGCCACTGGGGGCTTCTGGTTTTACATCTAATGTGGCTATATCCCCCAGATAGCAATGTGTATTGGATTCTGAACATGCTACTTGGAGCGTATGTGATCTGTTAGTTGGTCCAGATTCTTAAACACCCCCTTCTCCCCCCGCCCACATTTTTAAAAGATCAGAAATCACTGATATAACAAAAGTGGAAAATTGTGACATGGCAGGGGTTTATTATTTTTATTGCTATGCTGAAACTAGAAGTAATGAAAGGTCGTATCTGGTTTTATTTTTGGTCCTTTCTTAACCTGGGTGAGAACTAAAGTCTTGGGAATGTGGGAAAGAAAACCAATGATTTGAAGCATTTTAAATCCCTTTTGAGATTATGGGGCTAGAAATATAATTGAAGCATGCAGTTCTGTTCTGGGGAACGCAAAGGATTAGAACAGTGGTTCTCAACCTGTGAGTCCCTACGTGTTTGGGACTACAACTCCCTGAAATCCCAACCAACTTACCAGCTGTTAAGATATCTGGGAGTTGAAGGCCAAAACATTTGGGGACTCACGGGTTGAGAACCACTGGATTAGAACAAAAGTTGGGGGCTCATGTGGTATGCAGAACACACACCAATAGTCCTATTGCAATGTTAACTGCTGCAGTTTTAGTTGCTTTTCAGAAATTATAACTCCAGTCCTGATTTACTGCAACCTCCTTAACTATAACAGTAAGCTATTGCTTTTTAAACATGACCCCCGAAGCTCTGATTGTTATTTAATATTTCACTTTATCTCCACTTAGGCAGAAAAAATGAAATGCAAAGATACAGAATGGGGGACGCTTGGCTCGAGAGCAGTATGTGTGAAAGAGATATTGGAGTCCTCATGGACAACAAGTTAGACATGAGCCAACAATGTGATGTGGCAGCAAAAAAATCCCAGTGGGATTTTGGCCTGCATCAATAGGAGTCGAGTGTCTAGATCCAGGGAAGTCATGCTACCCCTCTATTCTGCCTTGGTCAGACCAACCTGGAATATTGTGTCCAATTCTGGGCACCACAATTGAAGAGAGATATTGACAATGTGTCCAGAGGAGGGCAATTAAAATGATCAAGGGTCTGGAGAACAAGCCCTATGAGAAGCGGCTTAAAGAGCTGGGCATGTTTAGCCTGAAGAAGAGAAGGCTGAGAAGAGACATGATAGCCATGTATAAATATGTGAGAGGAAGTCATAGGGAGGATGGAGCAAGCTTGTTTTCTGCTGCCCTGGAGACTAGGATGCGGAAAAATGGCTTCAAACTACAAGAAAGGAGATTCCATCTGAACATTGGGAAGAACTTCCTGACTGTGAGAGCTGTTCAGCAGTGGAACTCTCTGCCCCAGAGTGTGGTGGAGGCTCCTTCTTTGGAAGCTTTTAAACAAAGGCTGGATGGCCATCTGTTGGGGGTGCTTTGAATGCAGATTTCCTCCTTCGTGGCAGGGGGTTGGACTGGATGGCCCATGACGTCTTTTCCAACTCTATGATCTTCTTTCTATACATTGTTCACTTTCAGTCCACTGTGTGTATGTGTGTTTGTTGGGGGGGATATATACCTAGGTATTCATCAAATGATTTTGTGTTAAACATTTGTTTATTTCATTACGTGCTGCTTATGGTGCTGCTCTAGCGTCTTGCCACTTCACTTTCATTTCACATCTCATAGCATTTTCACTACAGCCCCATTTCTACCTAAGGTCGGCCTTCTGTGTAAACATGGTAGTTTGTGCAATGACTTCTGCCATCTGGTTGTCTTGTTCTGTTTGGGGAAAGCATCTTAAATGAGGAAATGAGAAATTTGTGAAATGAGATGGCAGCACCCATTGCCAGGTACCCAGATACCAAAATCACGAGTTGTGATTTCATTAGTACTGATGATGGATGGATTGTGTACTTTGAATGTGATCTTCCTGCTTCTTGGCAGGGGTTGGACTGGACGGCCCACGAGGTCTCTTCCAACTCTATGATTCTACATGTATTATGAAGTAAGGAGTGTTAATAACAAAGGTGCTTAGCTGGGTTTTAAACTACAGGTTGTGCACCAGATCTGCATACATTAAATGTTGCTTCTTGTCACCTCCTTGTAATTTAAATAGAAGGCAAAATCAAACCTCACAGCCTTACCTATGACTTTTGGCAACTCTTAAAAAACAAAAACAAACATGTGCTGACAACTTCCAAGTAACTGTGCTAATACAAATGCTAATTGTACTATTTCAAAACCCACAGACAGAAAATACCTTGGCTAAGACCAAGTAAAATGCCAAAAAAAGCAGCCAAGCTTTTATGTTCTCTAGAACACATTAAGTTGTTCATTACAAGAATAAATAGAGGGGGAAACTGCTTTGATGTTCCACCCACAAAATCTGCATTCTTACACGTTTTAGTTAGGATGAAAGGGAGAAGGACTTACTGTAGGTTTATATATTTTTTTCTTTGAGATGCATATATGTAGTGTAGTCATATTTTTAACAGCATCACAAAATGAACAGTGTAACATGTATCATATAATACAATACAGTAGGTGAAGCTGTACACTCTTCTGTTCACACAATTTGCTTAGGAGGGATATCACACTTTTATATTTGTATTTACCATTTAATCATATCCATATTCTATGCAGTTTGGTTATCTTATCACCCTCCCAGCTTTTGTGATATGGAGTAATCCATCTGGAATTTGTGTGTGTGTGTGAATATTTTTATTGTATTTTCCCCAGTCCAAACAATGTAAATCACACTACTGTAATACAATGGACCATTATATAGGCAATAATGTATCAAGAAAACCCTAGCCTTCATGTTTGCTCAATCTTCATCACACTAGAGAATGAATCCACTTCAAATCTGGTTTCTGCCTCCTGCAGAATTCTGGAGTTTGTAGTTTAGTGAGGCTGTTAAAGGCTCCTCCCTAAACTACAAACCCCAGAATTCTGCAAGAGGCAGAAATCAGATTATAAGTGGTTTCATTCTGTAGCATGATGAGGTCTGAGTATTCAGACATTACCAAGTAACACTTTGGGCCCTTCCAGACAGGCCCATATATCACAGGATTTGATCCCAGGTTTTCTGCAGATAATCTGGGATAAACAGAAAACCTGGGATCAGATCCTGGAATATAGGGTCTGCCTGGAAGGACTCACCCTTGTTTCAAATTATTGACTGCAAACCTGTGCCCTGGTTAGGGAAGACTGTCACCTAGTGCTGTCAGGTAGTAGTGCAGAATTCAAAAAATGGTATTATATGAAAAATAAGACTCCTCTTGACATGCATGCCACAGATCAGGTGTTTAGTTTCCTAGTATTTGAGCCATGGCCAACAGGCAGCTATACTTTCTCATTTGTTATAATGAGAAAAGGGCATATTTATAAATAATATATAATTTTATACATCAAATAACACACAGGTGTATATGTGTTTAGCATATGCTATTGTGTATCTTAATTTTCCTCTTCCTAGGTGAACCTGCCAAGGGCAATGATGATTGCTATTCCCCTGGTTACCTTCTTCTACTTGTTGGTGAACGTGAGCTATTTTGCGGCTATGTCTCCTGCTGAGCTTCTTTCTTCAAGTGGTGTGGCCATTACTTGGGGGTGAGTCATACTTCTAAGTACTGAGACCTTACTTGTATGTTTAGTAAAAGTGATCACATCTGTTTGTGCTCTAGTGTTGAACATCTATAATCATCACACCCTGCATGATTTTTCCCCTATGAAAAATGAGTTTGCACACCTCCAAGTCCATTTTAGATTGTAGTCTGCGTTTATCCAGTAAACTAAAGAAGTCTGAAATTAACACACACCCCAGAAGCTTTATAATCCTAGGTGGGGAAATTTGTAAGAGCAATTTGTCAAAAGGTTCTTGCAATGCCATGACAACACTTATTTAATTCTATAAGAATAGTTCTGCACCCAACTGCAAAATAGCACAAAATTTCATGTCACCTTAAAGATTGAGTCATTGTACAAATAGCCCTCCACATTTGTGAGTTTTGACTCCCTTCCCAGGGATATTAGATCAGCCCCCTCCCTCCTGCCTTTCCAAAAAAAAGCAAAAACTTGGCTCTTCAAGCAAGCATTTGGAATAGATAAACTATGAAGAATGAACATGGAATGGCTAGACAATGCCATTGGAAAATAATTTTAATAGGACGACACTGGTGATTACATGTTTTTAATGGTTTTTAATAGGTTTTATATATATGGAGCCCCCAGTGGTGCAGTGGGTTAAAGCACTGAGCTGCTGAGCTTGTTGATCGAAAGGTCGCAGGTTCGATTCCGGGGAGCGGCGTGAGCTTCCGCTGTCAGCCCTAGCTTCTGCCAACCTAGCAGTTCGAAAACATTCAAATGTGAGTAGATCAATAGGTACCACTCCGGCGGGAAGGTAACGGCACTCCATGCAGTCATGCCGGCCATATGACCTTGGAGGTGTCTACGGACAACGCTGGCTCTTCGGCTTAGAAATGGAGATGAGCACCACACCCCAGAGTCAGACATGACTGGACTTAATGTCAGGGGACTACCTTTACCTTTACCTTATATTGCTGATTGCTTTAATTGTGTCTTTTATGACAATATGGCATCGAATTGTTGCCAATCTGTAACCCGCCTTGAGTCGCCTTTGGGCTGAAAAAAGCGGGCTATAAATGCCATAAATAAATAATAATAAATTTGCAGATTTTATTATGTTTTCTCTAAGAATCCCTAGGTCACTTAGTGCGACTCCATTGTCAGCTTCCAGCTGAAAGTGACCATGGAGTCATGCTGGAGGATCTCGAAAGGGGAATAGAGATCTCATCTACCTCAAATCTAAGCACATTAAGCACAATGAACTTCCTTCTTTTGTTGTTGTTGTTCATTCGTTCAGTCGTCTCCGACTCTTCGTGACCTCATGGACCAGCCCACGCCAGAGCTCCCTGTTGGCCGTCACCATCCCCAGCTCCTTCAAGGTCAGTCCAGTCACTTCAAGGATGTCATCCATCCATCTTGCCCTTGGCCCTTGCCCTTCCTTCTTTTATGTGGCTGCTATTTTGTAAAGTAGGCTGGGGTTGTGTGTTTCAGATAGCATACTTAATTTAGATACTTCAATTGATGCAAGCTGAGTTCAAAGCACAATAATAGTTCACTCCCAATTAATGGGTAAAAAGAGGTGAGATGGGATCTTGCCCTTTCCAGTAGGTTCAGGCAAAAGCAAACTGCTCATAGCTTCTGTATTCTTCCTCGTTAATAACTTTTGCCATCTTGAAGAGAGTCTGATCTTGTTTGGCCACATATATTTTAAGTGTGAACTGCTGGATATGCTACTGGGTATCAGCAAACTAGATTGGCACTCTAAGAAACAACTCAGTATTTGGAGAACAGTGTTCATCTTCACTTCCTATATATTGCCTATAATTATGTATTAATACCTTGCATTTTACATGTGCTGGTAGACTTAATACAGGCATAATTATAGCATATACATTTTAATGTAAGATACATATTCTTTTTGTTAACACTTCTGCCTAAATTTATAAAATACTTATTGAATCAATGGAACGTAGCGTAAATATTTTCAAAGTTTTTTTCCGATTTAACAGATTTATTCTGTTTAGGACAAATAGTTATATTTAGGCCATATTTTACAGGAGTGAGAGCTGCAGAGAGAGAGAAAACCAGTAGTAGCATTCAGAGATATAGAGCATATCTCATGACCTTTTCATGCACTTCCTTACCCATCATTCCTTATTAACATGAGGGTTTCCATATCTCCACCCCACCCATACTCAAGCCATTCTCTATTTGTGTGTTTTGTCTGATTAACTTTTCCATTCTTGGGAACCAGGCCAGGTTGAAGAGAGCAGTATAGGATGGAATAGGGAGGGGGGAACTACTACGAAACTGCTTATCTCAAGGAACAGATGGAAGAGAAGGAGGTTATGGATACATCAGGAAGTACAGCATTAGCAACTGTAACATGATGCTCACTATCTCAAAGATATGCACTGCTGACAGTTTAAAATCATTTGTTTCCTTATTAAATTAAGATTCTACCTTTGTTCCTGAAATGAGATGCTGGTTGACAAGCAGACCGTTTTGCTCTCGTGTTACAGCCTTTACTTGGCAACCACACTCCCACGTGCTGTGTAGTGCCGAAGGATAAAAAACCTTCCCAGCTATGAAACTGCCACAGTTTGGGATGTTGCTTTTACACATGGTCCACATTGTTTGGTTTGTTGTTATTCTTTAATTATTACATTTGCTTTGATAACTTAATAATTTACAGGCTTCATGCTGCAAGGAAAAGTGGGATACTCGTAATATTATTTTCTGGGAAGAGGACATTTCTCCAAAAATGACTGTTAAAGAAACACAAGTTCATTATTTGTTATCAGCACTCCAACCACAGCATTGATACCGCTGCACTAGGTTAAGAGCTGGGGAAAGAATACATGTTGTGTTGCAGTAGACCTAAATTAGATCATTTTTCTTCTGGCACGGGTAGGGACGGTGGATGGGCAAATCAATACAAATTGTAAGTGAAATGGAAGCAATGGGCATGTCCTTAGAAACATTCAAGAATGATTTCAAAACCTGGCTTTTCTGTTGCGCTTTTGGAGAGTAACCGCACAACTGTACATTGTTGTTCCCCCTCAACGTTTATGCCTACACTCCCTCCTTGTATGAAGGCCTGTTTCTACTATGTTTCGTTCAGCCGTATTGTTTTATATTGCTTTCAATTGTGTTGTTATTTGTTTTATCTGATGTTTTAATTGGTTAAAGTGTTTTACATGTGTGTTTTAATTGTAATCTTGGGCGTGTCCCTTGTAAGCCGCCCTGAGTCCCCTAGGGGAGATGGTTGGCAGGCTATAAAAATAAAATAAATTATTATTATTATTATTATTATTATTATTATTATTATTCTATAACCCTGTTTTTATGTGCTCTCCCTCACAAATAATCTGCTCCATTTCTATCTCATCCTGAGTTTTTTTTAGTATTTTATCCTGTACAGTGGCCCACTTATTGTCACTGTGATTGTGAATTACTTTTTATTGTATTTTATATTGTTTCTTGTATTCTCATGTATTTTATTGTGTTGTTTTTATGCCTTGGTTTTATTTTATTTTATTTTATTTTATTGTAATGTGTTGTTGGGCTTGGCCTCATGTAAGCCACCCCGAGTCCCCATTGGGGAGATGGTGGCAGGGTATAAATAAAGTTGTTTTTCTGTATTGTTGTATTGATGTTCTGATGTTAATTAATGGATATTACTGTTTTAAATGATTAATGATTTTGTATTGTATTGTTGATACTGGTTGTTAACCGCTCTGAGTCGCCTGATGGCTGAGAAGAGCGGTATACAAGTGAAGAAAATAAATAATAAATAATAAAGTTATTATTATTATTATTATTATTATTATTATTATTATTATTATTATTCAAGAAGCTGTTGAAGCCCTTTTGGTAGAACAACCTCTAGAATCTTCTAGCCACATTGGTTTGGTTACAAAATCTTCAAGATGCAAAACAGGATGATAAGGTCTGGTTTGCTTGTCTAATTGAGGCCCCTTCTACATATAAAATCCAGATTGTGCGCTTTGAACTGGATTATATGGCAGTGTAGACTCATATAATCCAGTTCAAAGCAAAAATGTGGACTATCTGTTTTGATAATTTGGATTATATGGCAGTGTAGAAGGGGCCTGAGTGTGACTCAACAAAACTCAGTTAGTGTTCTTTTCTTCTTTCTACTAATAATATTCTTCTCAACTCCATTCCATAGAAACAAGGTCCTAGGCAGCTGGGTATGGCTGATGTCATTATCAGTGGCACTTTCAACATTTGGATCAGCAAACGGAACATTCTTCAGCGGAAGCCGTGTGTGCTACATTGGCGCAAGGGAAGGCCACATGGTAGGTTTTACCAGGTCTTTAGCCTTCTCTACTAAAGAGTGCTGGAGCCTCACCAAACTACAACTCTCAGGATCCCATAGTATTGAGCCATGGCAAATGGGTGTTAAGTTACATTCATTCTACAGTGTAGATACAAATTAAGTTAGCAGATCTGAGACTGAATCTGTATCTATAAATAGGACTAGATCCATACTTAGGCTGCAGCACTATATTTGGTTTCTAGGACCAAATTCCATAAAACTCAAGTTTTGACAGTGTACAGTAACAAATGCTGTACCTTAAATATGCCGTAACAACTGCAGCACGCCCCCATATCCATGGATTCTGCATCCATGAATACAACCAGCCAGAAATAAAAAATATTCAGAGGAAAAAATCCTAAAAGCAAACCCTGACTTTGGATACAGAAAGCATTCAGCTAATGTGGAGTCATATCCTGCTGTAGCCTCCGCCATTTCAAAGAAACTCAAGCTCTTTCCAAAGCTTGTATAAGTTGTTTCCCATTTTATATAAGGTATGCCATTGTACTATGCCATGATAATAATGGGACTAGCATCCATGGATTTTGAGAATGATAGATCATAAAATCAAATCCCAATGGATTCCATGGGTCCACCATACCGACATTATCAGTGGCCATAAACAAGACACCACTTCTGTCTTATTTTATCCATCACCTGCACAAGGTAGGAGAGAGATACAATACCAGGAATATCTACTTGGAAGTGAGTGCTACTGGCAGCTGGTGGGGCTTTACACCCAAACAAGTTTGTTTTAAGTTGAACTGTTCAAAGATTCATATGTTAAAAAGAACCACAACTGGTTGCTAGTTTGTAGGAAATTGCTTAAATGCAATGAAAGGCTGTATGAAATTAATGCATTAAAACAAATGCTTGCAAGACTTTAGTTTGCTTCTGAAAATACATCTACCATATTTATTGCTCCTTTGCTGATTAAAGCTGCGAAAGGGCCTCTGATGAACTGATGGAGTAAAACAATCTGCCTTGAGTCACCTTCGGGCTTGAAAAAGGTGGGGAAAAATATCATAAATAAATAAAAATAATAGATCCTTCCAGCATTGATTCTAATTTTTTTCTCTGTCTTCATTTTCAGCCAGACATTCTATCTATGGCTCATGTAAGATGCCTCACACCATCTCCTGCACTCATATTTACTTCGATTATGTCATCCATTATGGTTATACCTGGGAATTTCAGTCAGATAGTGAACCTTCTCGGGTGCGTATGTTTGCTCTTCTCCTTACTCTTCTTTTTGCTCCTCAGCAGTGCTGATTTTCCAGCATCCTTTGGATCTCATTTTAACCCTATTCTATCCTGAAGCCGCCAAGGGAGAAGCAGGGCTGTGCGTACTTTTTCCACATCCAACATCTCTGTGTGCAACAGCAACACCATCTATCTTCCGGCATGGATGTACACTGGAGACATGGTTAACATGTTGGGACAACTTCATAGAGAGCACTTGAAGTAGTTAGAGATCCTGATTAAGGAGTTTTATAAAGACCTGTTATAAAACTAAAAGCTTTATAATTGGAACTCCCATTCTAAGATGGGAAAATGAATCTATATTATCTACATTCTAGGGAAGAGCTGAGGGAAGACTGGCGGCATGAGGAGATGTGGAAAACATCCCTAAGAGTAGTTTATATTACAGAAAAGTCTTGACAAGTAGACATGGAAGAAAGATACTTTAGGCCACTCATACTTTGTTATTCATTCGTTCAGTCATCTCTGACTCTTCGTGACCTCATGGACCAGCCCACGCCAGAGCTCCCTGTTGGCCGTCACCATTCCCAGCTCCTTCAAGGTCAGTCCAGTCACTTCAAGGATGCCATCCATCCATCTTGCCCTTGGTCGGCCCCTCTTCCTTTTACCTTCCACTTTCCCCAGCATAATTGTCTTCTCTAGGCTTTGCTGTCTCCTCATGATGTAGCCAAAGTACTTCAACTTTGTCTCTAGTATCACGCATACTACCTAAACCTATTACATTTGCCTGCTTTGAGGCCTTCTTGACTTTTCAGTACTAGGCGTTATTGGACTTCCACCCCTAGTTGAAGGCAATAGTGACCAAACAGGGCTTTCTTCTTTCATTATCTTCTCTTTCTCTTTTTGTTTTAGAAGTTTCTAATATGCTAACACATTTTTATAAGCCTTCACTTAATAAGTTATCCATCATGTGAGAAAGACAGAATAAGAGGGCTACATATAGGGAAGAGAAACAACTGAATCAATTGTTTGCATTTTTACAAATCAAAGTGTGTGTGATTGTGACAGATACAGAGGGATGCTGCCTTGTACATGTGTGAAGCAAAGCTGGGAAAGTTATATTTAAGAAAAATGAATACACACACACATACACCAGAATCCTTCTAGTGTTCGGTAATGAATGGGTCCAGCACATGTTCATTTTTAATCATTCTTAAAAGTAACTCCCAAAGCTCTGAAGCAGGAGGAGTAAATGTGTGTGTGTGTGTGTGTGTTCATACATTATCCCCCCCCCCCCGTATTATTTATATAATGACATCAATGTGCATAATGCTTTGCAGAGAACAAGAGAACAGAACTCTAACACAACAATTAATGCATATTTAGTCTCATTGTCCAAAGATTAGAGAAAAGAAAAATAGGACCTGGTTGTTGTAGGTTTTTCAGACTATATGGCCAAGTCCTAGAAGCATTCTCTCCTGACATTTCACCTGCATCTATGGCAAGCATCCTCAGAGGTTGTGAGGTCTGTGGATGTTTGCTATAGATGCAGGCGAAATGTCAGGAGAGAATGCTTCTAGAACATGGCCATACAGCTCGAAAAACAACAACCCAGTGATTCCAGCCATGAAAGCCTTCGACAATACACAAAAATAGGACCACCAGTACTTACTTATTTAGGTGGTCTCTTGTTGTCCGAGTATGATGACCCTCCAAGTGCAGTGTCCTGGCGGTGAATACATAGGTGACTGTGGAGACCTATTCTTAATCTGCATGTTCTTCCACAGTGAGGGCATTGACCACTAGTAGCTAACCTCTAACTAGCTCATGGACTCGGCAGCACGATTCTGTACAAAGTAAAATGAATCTTAGGTTATTGTAATCAGCAGATTTAGACACACCTGGGGGCATAATATACTTATAGCTGCAGGACTCCATACACTAAATTATGGGGAAAACAAAGTGTGTCAAATATTACATGAGCTTTTAATATTACCCTCATAACATCAGGAATTGCACATTCAGTTCTAGATTGGCTTGTATTAATTCTATTTCTAAACAGTTTTACAGCTTGGCTTTTCTATGGGACAACAGTTTCCGGTCTCCTGTATTTAAAGATCAAGAAACCTGAAATGCCCAGATCTTATAAGGTGAGTCATTTTAAAATGCATTGTTTTCCTCCTTGTATAGAAAACTGGTTAATTTTTAAAAATTGTACATGTGTTTGCCCACTCACCTTTTTCTCTCTGAACCTTTGCCATCAAGCATGTGGTAAGCACGTTTCCCTGAATGAGATACTCTATCCTTCCTGAGACTATGTAAAACTCTATTTTTCCTTTCACCCTAAGAAACTGAACCTGTGTGTTATTATGCACAAGTTGTGAGTAAACATCGTTTACTTAAGTTTGGTTCTTTTATCTGCTAGAGTCTAGACTCTGTCTTGGAGAGGGAAGTGGCTGGTCTTTCTGTTTTTACTTGTACTGAAACAGGTTTAAGTCCACACAAGCCACTCAAAACCCAGGCTTTCTCAGGGAGGGTGGCTACATGTCATCCCGATAGCAATCGTGATGGCATGCAGCCCCCTAAATAACCTCTTAAAAAGAAAGAAAACTTAACTGGCTGCCAATATGGTTTAATGAGGTATTTAATTAATTCGTAATAATTGAGGTTATTCTGAATTAATTTACTTCTACAGCAGGCATCATTTGGATGCCTCTGGTAAAAACATCTTGCATTTTGTGTCTGCCTGGATGGACCCTTTGTGAGCCATAGGCTCTGCTACCAAAGAGATTCATGAAATCTCATGCTGTTAAACCTAAGATGAACATGTATATTCTTTCCACAGGTACCAATCATCATACCTGTCATTTTTCTGTTGGCATCTGCATACCTGGTTCTGGCGCCCATCATTGACCAGCCCCAGATGGAATTCCTCTATGTCATCCTCTTCATTCTCGGTGGTGCCATCTTTTATTTCCCCTTCGTTCGCTACAAGTACCATCCTACTTGCTTGCAAAAATTGACTTTGCACCTGCAACTGCTCCTGGATGTTGCCCCAACGGAAAAGAACATGGACTAATTTAATGCGCATCCAGTTGCTTGGAGAGAACTGTCCATTATCTTTAACTGTTGAGGGATATAATTTTTCAGAGGGAACAATGGATGCCTTTAGCATTTTTTTCCTGCTGCAAGAAAGTCTTTAAAAATCAGATTGTTTTACAAGACTATTCATAACTCAGGATTTATATTTCGTGAAATTCATATGTTGTTGTATACAATTCACAGTTCAATGTGAATTGTATACAACTATGTGAAAGGGCCTGAGGCTAAGATAATGTGACATGTCCATGGGCACCCAATGCAATTATATTAATTTGACTTAAACACAGGTCTCTAGAGTCATATTCCAATCTTAGGGCCCTCCACCGCAATATCTGCTTTGAACTGGAATATATGGCAGTGTGGACTCAGATAACCCAGTTCAAAGCAGATATTGTAGGATTTCCTGCCTTGATATTCTGAGTTATAGGGCTGTGTGGAAAGGCCCTCAAGACCACTACACTATGCTGGAATTGTCACGCGCTCTAAAAGTGCAAAAAGATTTCCTTATTTTACTTCTTATATAATATTTGTTGTAATTTACCATGTTACACTGTCTCTTAAAAGATGCTTTTAAAAGAGCTTATAGCATTTAGAGCTCTTTACTCTGTAAGGAGCTTATAGAGGCGAGTACCATTTCTCATGTTTCTCTTGATTAAATAACTATGGTGCCTTCTCAATCTAACAAAATTAAAAGCCAGCCATCACATCTCAGGACAAATGGATCCAATGTTCTTCTTTAGAGAGTGTTTCCTTGTTGTAAAAAATGAAGCAATATGTTCATAAAACTTACATGCAGGAACTTGCGCTGATTAGTAAAAAAGTGTTGCTTTGAAATGTCAAATCTTGATGTTAAAAGCTCTATTATTACTTTAATCATTGTTATAGTTTATGCTCCCACAAGAACATTAATACTGAGGCTAGAAGCAAATGTGAACACTCAGAACAGAACATCCAAGAGAAGGTGGGTGCTTTGATAGGAACTTGGGGAACTCGCATTTTCAAAGTCACCTTCATATGTATGAAATGTTGAACAAGGATGGTCGGTATGCATTCTCTTTCAAAGAATGTAAAGGAGAACTCTTTAACTAGAGCCAGTGTGATGCAGTGGTTTCAGTGTTAAGACTTTTGAGACCACAGTTCAATTTCCTGTTTGGTCATGGAAACTCCCTCAGTGACCATGGATGAGTCATACACTCTCAGCTTTAAAAATACTTGAGATAGGTTCACCTTAGGACAAGTCAGAAATAGTTTGAAGGCACACAGCAACAAGAGCAACTATTAATACAGTATAATGGTAAAGGTTTCCCCTTGACATTAAGTCTAGTCTGGGGGGTGGTACTCATCTCCATTTCTAAGCTGAAGAGTCGGCGTTGTCCGTAGACGCCTCCAAGGTCATGTGGCCAGCATGATTGCACAGAGCACTGTTACCTTCCCACAGAAACAGTGTCCTATTGATCTACTCACATTTGCATGTTTTTGAACTGCTAGGTTGGCAGAAGCTGGGCTAACAGTAGGAGCTCACTCCACTCCACTGATATTTATTTGTCGTGTCAGGGCAACCAGTCAATTATATTACATTTCTAACAGAAACAAAGCAAACAAACAGACAAAATACAAAATTTGTGAGTTTGGTAGTTGATTAAATGTCCTTTGACCAGAAGCTGGCCACTTGGAGTGCTTCTGGTGTTGCTGCAAGAAGGTCCTCCATTGTGCATGTGGCAGGGCTCAGGTTGCATTGCAGCAGGTGGTCAGTGGTTTGCTCTTCTCCACACTCACGTCATGGATTCTACTTTGTAGCCCCATTTCTTGAGGTTGGCTCTGCATCTTGTGGTGCCAGAGCGCAGTCTGTTCAGCGCCTTCCAAGTTGCCCAGTTTTCTGTGTGCCCAGGGGGGAGTCTCTCATTTGGTATCACTCCACTGATTCAAACCGCTGATCTTTTGGTCAGCAAATTCTGCAGTTTAGCGGTTTAACCCATGGCACTACTGAGGTCCGCTTAATACATAGTAGCCTTCTCTAAAAGGAAATCTCTGTATTGGTTACATGGTGACTCCTATTATACACATAAAAATTCCCATCTCTCCCCACAGATGTGTAGTTTCTTGGGCTAGTGACAAAAGTGTGTGCATGTCTTTTGATTTCTGTCAACTGGGAGGAGACCACAAACATTAGATTATGTTCCCCCCTTTTCTTCCTTGTTCTCATATGATAACCATGTTTAAATATTTGAAAGGATGTCATAAGGATCCTAATGCTTGGTCTCTCTTCTCCAGTTCCCAGGACATGTGAGAAGAATCCCAGGGTGAGAGAGCTATCTTGATAGGCAAATATATGTATATATTTATTTTTCTCATTTGTTAGATTTGGATTTTTTTCTGTTTGTTTGAGCAACACACTCTATTCAACTGTAGTTGATGCTTAATGACATTGTTAGAGCCCATCTCCTATGACATTGGAAAAGGTTGCACTTAAGTTTCAAGTTTTGGAGAGTCCTGATCTGGCAGTCTTGATAACTACATCATGCAAACTGAGTTATACAACACATACATGCTCAGGTTCTTGCTCCTCTTCTTCAAACATGCTATTGCCCTTTCACAGGATAAGATCTATTGCAAGGACCAGCCATGTCCTTCTTTGTTTCTGAAGTTATGTGCCTTTCTCATCTGAGTTAATAAGCACTCTAGTAATTCTTTAACAGAGCCTTTATATTGCCTGAAGGATGCACAGATCGAGATTTGTGGTGACTGCCTTTATGGACACAGCAAGGACTGGTCACATAGATTCTCCAATGTGACAGTATTATAGCTCCACAGTTGGCTTCAGACTGTGATATATGGAAGCACACTGCTAGAAAGCATTATTGCTGGACCTGCAAATCCTTATATTCCAGACTGAGAGTCGGGTACTTAAGAGACTGCTGGAAAAGTGAGAACTACAGAACTGTTGTACTCCTGGAAACATCTATGACCCCAGCACCCCACAGAGTATAAGCAAACCGTTTATTGTAAAAACTCATAAAAATATACAAAAAAATCAGGAAGAAGGAAAGAAGATGGATAATCCAAAAAAGAGTTAGCAATTGGTGTAAACCGAACAGTAATCCAAATGTCTCAAGCAAATCCCAAGGTAACACGGTCTAGGAATAGCCAGGAAGTCACAAGTACAGCGTAAGTCCACAAGCAAAAGTTATTTCCTAGTAAAACTTGGGAATGAATACAAAAACAAAAACATTAAAAAAAACTTCCAGGATACTAAAATCCAAACCAAGGGTTGACTTGAAACAAGAACCAGAGAACTCAGGCCTACCTTCTCACTTGAATGCTACATTGCCTGAACTAACCCTTAGGTAAACAACTTGCTAATTAATAAGCAGCTATGAAGTCATTTCTATTCCCATCAATTTTCCCTTCAACTTTACCACGTACATGCCCTGACGGGAGATGCCTATTTTCTGCTCTAATCTATAAATGGACTTTTGTTGATCTCCATACCTCCAGGTGTTTTTTCCTGGGAGCCTTCCATATCACTTAGCTCTTCACCTGACTTCTTATCTAATGTTGCAGTTTCTGGCTCCCATGACTGGCATTGCCCTGCACTTTCTGAGTCAGGTTGTTCCCAGAGAGAACCATCAATTCTCTGATTAGAATCTTCATCACTTTGTGCCCCAGGAAATCTCCCAGAAAATCCCACAATTCTCTCTAAACCACCAGTGAGCCCATCAGCCTCAGGCTGTACTGCAACAAAAACCAATCCAATCCATAGTGTAACATACAAAAAAATGACAGGACTGGTAGTTGCTTCCTTTTTCAACAGCAGCCACAATGAGATTGCAACCTCTACTGCACCTAAATCAGGTGAGCTTGGAGGACCCACACTATTTATTTATTATTTATTTACGACATTTCTACTCTGCCTTTCTCACTCATAGTTGTTGTATGGCATATATTGCTCTGTCATTCAACAGAAGGGAAAGACTGGAGAATTTATGGAGGACAGCCAGGCATCTGCCACCGCAGCCATACTATCTATCCCGTTATCTTAAGGAGCATCTAGATTGTAGGATTGCTGCAGTTTGACACCACTTTAACTGACATTGCTCAATGATATGGAATCCTGGGAGTTGAAATTGGTGAGACACCAGCACTCTTTGCCAGAGAAGGCTAAATACCTTGTAAAACGACAGGTCCCAAGATGCCATATTATTCTGTCATGACAGTTAAAGTGGCATTAAACTGCCTTAGTTGTATAGTATCGATGCACCCTTAGGCATTGAATTTATTCTGCTGTTATGTATTCAGCAAATGTAAGCTGCGCTCAAGATTTTTCCCGCATATGTTAATTCATGAGATGCAGGATTCCATGGGATGGAGCTATGATACTTGAAGTAACAACAAAGTGCTATTACAGAGCAGCGTGTTTCCAATATCCTAACACCCTTTCTTTCACTGATCCCAGACTGATTTGTCCACATGGCTCTTCTGTATCTGACGTTGTATTAAGGGCATGGGAGACACTGCAGCTTAATACTTCACACTATGCCTTCTGTGCCAGTTTATCTGCATCAGCAGCAGAAAGGTTGGGTCCAAAGTATGAGATTTCATGAAGTAGGGATGAAAAAGGTATTGCTGATATTTTACAGTAAGGCCTCCATATCCACAAGAGATATGTTCCCAGCCAGGCTGTGGTTATGTAAAGTCACAGATATTGCAGAATTTTGAATGACAGACACAGTTTTCCTCAATGACTGTTAGCAAATCAAAAAAAAAATTGTAAAGACTGAGGCAGAGATCTTTAGAAGAGTTGCAAGGAGAGGAACAGACAAGTAATTGTGATAGGCAGAGAAGAGCCATGCTTTCAACAATGGCCTTGTTTCCAGACAATGCTTGTGTGTTTTCAAAGTCATTTCCTCAGCAAAGAAGATAGATGACCAACTTCATTGTGGATTTTAAATTCTAGAGCATGCATAATTCTTTCTTTTAGTAGAGTTTCCCAATCCTCTACCATTCTGAGGTACTTTCCTATACTTTGCACTAGATTCCAGCCATGCATCCACCCAATAAACATCTCATTCCCTCTATTCGCCAGTGGATGCATGCAGAAGGTTATAAAACATAGGAGCCGCAGTGGTGCAATGGGTTAAAACCTT